GTGATCATAATTATAGCATTTAAGGAGTCAGAATAAACATTAGATGGATTCAATTGCTTAACAAATGTGTAGATGAGCACAAAGGAATACTGCTGACTGCTTTAGCCAGACAATTCCTCTTGTTGCTCAATTAGGGAGAGTGAGAACTCAAGGAAATCACAACGAGGTGTCTCCAAGCTGCTGGTTTTAAAACCGAAAAACAGCAGAGAAATGGCATGAAAGGGGAGTGTGAAGGGGTGTGGAGATATTTCAGGCAGTTGTGGAATGTAAAAGGGTGGGGCCCTTCCCCCATTCCGGAGTGAGAGGATAAACACCAACCGCTCCTGGATAGATTCTCCAGACCACATTAGAACTACTCACAGTAAAACTACAGACACGTTGCCTCGTGCTATAAAATCATGACTTTTAGTTGAGAAACTGTTTTTTGGTTCTTATGAAGAGGGCTCCTCCCCTTCCCAAAACACTGAATCAGCCTCTTCCTGTGCAAGCTGGCCCATGAAAGCCCTGCTGTTCTCCTACAGGGAGCACATGAGCATGAGTGTAGTTAGGAATTTAGTGACCATGTCTGAAACATTGCATCAGTTTCAGCCTATCAGGATCCCAGCTACAGTGGCAAGAAGAGAAGTTTTAATCTGGCTCAACGAGAGCGAAAATGTTGCAGCTGTACCATCTAAATAAATTCTTCACTGTATGGAAAAGTTGTTGAAGGGTGTGTGCCAGTGTCTATGCGGCGCCAGGCGGACAGCGGTACTGGCAGGGCTGAGTCTGATAAGAAACCCCTGCACTCGTAAGAGAGACCCCCAGATAACAGGGCACAGCCTGACGCACACAGACATGACTTTATCAGGGGCCACACAAGGGCCGAGTCAGGGGGCAGTCCACACACACACCACTGGGGGGGAAGGGAGAGAGAAAATGAGCGAGACTCCTCTGTTCTCAACGCTAACCCTGTCAACCTCTTCCTGCTATCCAATTTATCACTGCCCAGCAGGACACAGAAAAATAGAGAGAAACAAAGATAGAGAGAATAAAATTATCTGCACACTCACTCTACTGAACCCTGGCTCGAGCCGAGCACCCGAGCTAATGAATCCAGCTAGCTAATTAAACTAGATGCTGTAAAGGGGTCCCACGGGTCCAAACCTATAAGAATCACTTCCTGTTAGCACCTTGAATGACCTCAAACACGCTGCATCTAAATTATTATACTTTCAGAATTCTAAAGAAGAAATTAATTCCTGATCGCTGATGAAGGAAATTTGTAACTTAATTACGGTATATGCACTGACCAATCAGAATCAAGTTTCTTATAGGATTATATTTATTCCAGAGAACGAATTAATATAGCTACACTACCATTGAAAAGTTTGGGGTCATTAACATGTATTGAGGAAGGATGCATTCATTTGGTCAAAAGTGACAGTAAAGACTAAGATTTCTATTTTAAATGCTGTTCTTTTGAACTTCATATTCATCAAAAAATCCTTAAAAAAATGTATCATGGTTTCAACAAAAATATCAAGCAGCACAACCCTTTTCAACATTGATAAAGGTTTCTTGAGCACCAAACCAACCAATTAGAATGATTTCTGAAGGACCATGTGACTGAAAACTCGAGTAATGATGCTGAAAATACAGTTTTGCCTTCACTGGAAAAAAAATATTTTAAAATAGAAAACTATTGATTATTGAGAAAATTCAGGCTTGGTGAGCATAAGAGACTTTTCAAAAACATTCTGATGACCCCAAACTTTGGAACGGTGGTGTACGCATTTCTAAGAGCCACAGAAAACACAAACAACTTCCAGATACTAGAATAATTTCCTAACAACCTGTATGAGCTTGAGGAATCAAGCTATTTAACCTTGACTCGTTCCTTCCATGTCTGTGTCCATTTCTGAACACCCATGCATTGAGCTCTAACACTGGACTCAGCTGCCACTGACTTATCAAAGACAGCTCTAAAAACACCCGCAGGGTCACCTCTGAAGATCACAAGCATGCTGCAAACCTGTCTTTCTCTCGTCAGCCTGACACACACTTGCGCAGTGCAGGGAGAGGGAGGGCGAGCAGTTGTCTTGTGCAGGGAACAGAGAGGGTGACGAGGGAGATGTAAGGGTGTTGGTTTTCCTTTGCCATGACAACAGCTGCAAACACACACAATCCATTTGAGTTATGAGCGTTTGTGCGCAGCTGTCACGAGAACTCTTACAAGGAGACAACTCCGAGAGCGTTCCCACATTTCACCTCCAAACCCCCACACGCCGTCTCTTTCATCCAGCAGTAAAGTGTGAAGCTGCAATGAAAATGTTTTAAGTCTGTGCTTTATTTACACATTAAACACTCCACAATAACAATAGCGGTGCTTAATGAAACACCTGAGATTCTATCATCTGTCGAACCTTCTCAGATCAATTTTTTGCTGAACAACAACAACCTAGTGTCTTTTCAACTGATCTGCAACATACCTCATCCTGTGATAGCACAGATCTGGAGTGAAACCTGATCTTGCATCAGTCAAGATGGAGCACACGGCCCCCCTAAAACTCGTGACAGACCAACACATCAGCCAATTTGTCCATTTTGCGATTATTCACATCAATAACTGTGTCCGGTAAACAGAAGAAATCATTCCGTCTAGTGTCAGCTCCATAATCTACCGCCAGCTTTGCCAATCAATATTGCACATTCAATTTCATCAAATATTTTTTTCCCGATTTTAATAAATGTTTATTTAATAAATATGTTTAAAATGGCATTATATCACCAGTATCAGCCATTTAAAAACCCCATATCGGTCTGATGTAAAGCAGAGGTCAGGAGAGATAGCAGATACTGTGTGTAGCGGTACAAATTTTCCTCCCCACGCATTAAGTCTGAGTATTTACCGTTACAAATACATGACTGGCCCACATCACCCTGCGCTGCTCATTTGCATAGCCAAATCAGTATGCAAATGCAGGAGAGATTTTACACCTAGTCCAATCCATGTGTGTGTTCAAAGAAATGTGTGTCACAGGGAAGAAGAAAAAAAAAGGATGAAGTTGTCCTCGGCGGTTTCAGCATTTTTGAGTGGATTGAGGAGAACAGATTACAGCAAGAGAGGAGCAAAGTTCAGGTAAACAGAGCAGAATGAGAGCAGATACACAAACATGAGGCTGAATCACTGCAGGAGAAACTAACACCTCGCTGTTTGGTGTCAGAGCACACAGCTTCATGAGAAATCTCTCAAGGAGACACTAAGGGACAAAGTAGAAGACTTCTTAAGAAAACACATCTGTGCCATTTACGTATAGAGACAGAGAGAGAAGAAAAAGTCCTACTGAAGATGTAAAAACTTTTGTAGTTTGATAGCTCACCACTGTCCACATACTAAAACATTAAGATGTTAAAGGAACAGTTCACCCAAAAATGAAAATGTCGTTTTCTCACTCGTGTCGTCCCAAACCTATTCTAGATTTTCTTCTATGAAACAAAAGACATTTTGAAACATTTAGGTTTTTTGGTCCATATATAATGGAAGTCAATGGGCTCCATAACAGTTTGGTTCTTCCAAAAATATATTCTTGATAAGTAAATTATGACAGATTACATTTTTGTGGAATTATACCTTTAAAGCATGTTCACTCGTACAGTAAAATAAACAAAAAAAATGTAAATTCGTATTGAACATTTAAAAAATGTAATCTCTGAGGACAAGTCCCGTCATGAACTTGGCATTAGCTCAAGCAGAAAAAGTTTTAGCGGCCCAACTAAAAGTCAAAATCAAACAACAAATCTGAAGTGTGGTTTCTGGGGTTTTGTCGGTATGTGGAGTTGTGATAAGTCAAAAACCAAACCAGTTTATCCAGTGACGCACAGGGTGATTTTGCAACACGCCGAGAGAATACTAGCGCAAACAAAGCTGGCATTGCGGCAGATTTTGCGGCTGCTCGTTCCTCTTTGTTACAAGACAAACAGAGCCGCGTGTTTGCACGTCAATAGAGCAAGCATTTGTGCACTTCATGAAACTAATGCAGACGGATAACGTGTGTGTTGGAATCCAAACCTCTTCGCATCGGAACAGAAGGAGATTAAAGCCCGACTACAAACTACATGATATTCAAACACAAACAGCGAGTGTAAATAAACGTGTGAAGTGAATGAGTGACGACGCAGATACACAAACTGCAATCCTGAGAGAAACCTGCTGCATATCACTGCCACGAAAAGTCTTTCACCCTCTCAGATTGCATGGTAAAAATAAAAAAAGCTTTACAAGCTGTCAATATCTATCTAGAATAAACAGTCGTTTATGTTGTACTATTGACACAGATGTGTCTAGGCATTTAGACATGCTGCACACACAGTGCCTCTCTCACTCTCTCCATAGGGCGCATTCATGCAAAACTCATCTGAATGCCTCGGGGGGGAAATCTTAATCTGCAAACAAACAGCTAATTGTTCTGATTAAATCATTTGTGTTCAGTACAGATACGAATATTTTAGTATGCCTGGGTAAATAAACACATAAACATTAATTCGAAAGAATAAACGTTAAGTTTCTTGTGTGCAGCTAACGTTACCAACTTAGGCTAACCTCACTCACACCCTAAAATAAGTTAGGAACCGTTCAAACGCCTGGCGATATGTCATTTACAACACGAGACAAAAACTTAAAAGAATAAACTCTTGAAAGATCTTAAAGTTAATAAAGAAGTGAAAGTTAGCAAATATGACGACATGTAAAAGTTGTTGATTTAGCAGACTGCTAACAGCGCTAGCGACCCACACACGAAATGAAGGGGGTGGGGGGGGGGGGGGGGGGACTACTTTTCAAATTCTAACTGTTAAAAACTGTCCAAAGCTGTTTAAACGTTTAAAATTAGACATGAAAAGTAAGTCTACTAAAAAACAGAAACCCCAACCGTCGGGTTGAATCTCCTTCGCTAAAGACAAATAGTTTGTGAAGTTGTGAAACACCACATACACACTCGTGGTTCAAGTTAACACACACGTACCTTCGTCCAAGAGTCTCTCCAGGTGTGTGAAGATGCCGCACAGGTTCGGTAAACTCGTCATGAGCTTCTTCTCGTTTAATAACTGCATGAGATAGTCGGGACTCGGCCTCGGTCTCTCCTTCACCTCCATCTCCCCGACCATCATCTTTGCACACAAACGCTCACAATCCTTCCCCCAGAAAAAAAAAAAAAAAGAAAACACAAAAGAAAAAAATAACGGTGCTGATCAAATCCCTCGTTCCCCCTCCAGGCTGCGGCAACCCTCTCCAAATATAATGTCTGATTTTAAGGTGCAGTCTCGCTTTCTCGCTTTCTCTCTTTCTCTCCCTTCGATAGAGTCGCGCGATGTGGACTCGTCGGGTTCTCTTCGTTGAACTGAGCAAGCGCTACTGCTCCGGACTGCCACCAGTGCGCGTTTGCTGAGGAACCCCCGAGAGCGCCCGACCCGCCGCGCGCCCATTGGCTGCGTGCACGACGCGGACGTGCGGGGTGGCCAATCAGCGCATAGTTTTGAAGAGGCGGGACTAGTGCCTTAACCACATGATTCAGTGCCTGTGATGATGGACAGAGATCAGAGCCAATAGTCAGAAGTCACCGCCAGCGGGGATGAGATTGTGAAACGTTGTGTCTGTGAAACAACAAGTTTGGGGCTTTTGTGTTTTGATTGGGTTTGGTATTATTACGTGGTAGTTTGCTTTTATAACTAAATCTTGTTATGTGTGTTTTTGATTTGCAGTCAGTTTTGTGCCATACCATACCAACTTTATTTGTTAAGCACTTTACAACAACCAAAGTTGACCAAAGTGCTGTACAGAAAAATAGACATAAACATATGTACAATTAATAACCATACAATAAAAACGTTCAAAGTAACAAATAAAATCAAGTAAATAAAGTCGACATCCTACTAGGTGTCAAAAGCCAAAGAGAAAAGATGGGTTTTAAGAAGGGTTTTAAAAACAGATAAAGAAGAGGCCTGCTTAACATGCAAAGGCAGATCATTCCATAGTCTAGGGGCAGACACAGCAAAGGCACGGTCCCCTCTGAGCTTACGCTTAGTTTTAGGCACAGTCAGGAGCAGCTGATCATCTGACCTGAGAGCGCGGACGGGTTTATAAGAGTGTAGAAGCTCAGAGAGGTATGGCGGGGCAAGACCATTTAATGATTTAAAAGCAAATAACAGAATTTTGAAATGGATCCTAAATTGAATAGGCAGCCAATGTAATGAAGCTAAAATAGGGGAAATGTGCTCATGTTTATGTGTGCCTGTTAAAAGAGTGCTGCTGCATTTTGTATCATCTGGAGAGGGGTGATGGAGGACCCACTAACCCCCACATATAGCGAATTACAGTAGTCCAGCCGTGTAGTTACAAAGGCGTGGATTGCAGTTTCAAAATGTTGTCTTGACAGAATTGGCTTTATTTTGGCCAGTTGCCTCAAATGAAAGAAGCTTGATTTGACAACAGCTTTGATTTGACTGTCAAATTTAAGCGCAGGGTCCACTTTAACTCCTAGGTTTGTAATGCTAGGTTTAATATAGGGTGCCAAGGAGCCCAGATCTACAGGCGGGGTCCCAGTGGTGCCTCCAAAAACCATCACTTCTGTTTTTTTATCATTAAAATTAAAAAAGTTCAGAGCCATCCAGGCCTTTATGTCGTCGAGACAATTGAGTAGTTGTCCAAAAGAGTTATCATTTTTCTTTTTAAGAGGTACATAAATCTGACTGTCATCTGCATAACAGTGGAATGAAATGCCGTACTTTCTAAGTATGGAACCAAGTGGAAGCAAATACAAAGAGAAAAGTAGAGGGCCGAGGACTGAGCCCTGTGGGACCCCACACAAGAGAGGAGTAGAGGAGAATACAGATTCACCTAAAAGTTCGATCCGCTAAGTATGACCTAAACCACTCCAGTGCCATGCCACTGATGCCCACCCACTGCCCTAAACGTGAAATCAACATCTCATGATCCACTGTGTCAAATGCAGCAGTTAGATCCAAAAGCACAAGGATAACACAGTCGCCAGAGTCAGTCGCTAAAAAGATATCATTAAAAACTCTTAAAAGAGCGGTTTCGGTGCTGTGCAAGGTTTTAAAGCCGGACTGGAAAACCTCTAGTATATTATGTTCTTCCAAAAATACCAATAATTGACTGTGCTCAATCTTCTCCAGGCCATGTAATGCGATTCTCTGTGTTTAAGCCAGGAAGGCACTTCACGCAAGAACTTGAACGTATGTTGCGTTCCAAAATGTGTCGGAGCGCAACCCATAAACGAACGCGTAGAGTAGGGCTATGTTTCTGGCCTTAAAATGTAGGTACATTTTTTTAAAATAGTCTTTTTGGTGTTGTTCAATATACAATATGAAAATCCTTATGAAAATACAATGAAATACACTAAAGAACACATAAATATGTTAAGTTATATATATATATATATATATAAAGACTAAATTATCATTCTAGACCAATGGTTCTACCAAAAATGAAAAAGTGTCATTGTTTACTCACCCTAATGTTATTCCAACCCTACATTTTATTTTCTTCAGTGAAAGACACCAGGAAATATAATCAGAGAATAATGGCACAAATTTTCACATTTTCCTCACAGATTCATTTTTATGGTAGCCTATTTTTTGCTCACTAAGTAGATCAATCCAGTAGGAAGGTCATGTCGTATGGACATTAACCTTCAGCAGTTGTTTTTAGATAGTAGCTTGGTTCTTTTGACCAATCTTGACAAGCATCTCATTATTGAAAGAAAAAAATGGATATCAGATCAGTTTCACATTCAACAGTAAGTGAGACACATGTGAACAGACGCTATATCAGGTTGTGACTTCATGCTTAGCTGACCTTCTCCAGCTCCTCCGTTATCCAGATAACAGGTCACATTCCTTTAACTATTGACAACACAGCAGCTAATAATACCAGATTTAAGGACATTATCATGATGACGTCAAGATTGGCTCCTCCGTTATCCACATGGAAGATAACAGGTCACACTTCTTTAAATATTGACAACACAGCAGCTAATAATATCAGATTTCTAGGCCTACTACCAGAAAAGGACATTATCATGACGTTTTCCTGTGGTTCCAAAGAGATTGGCTCCAAATACTGTCCAGAACTGATGCACATGAGCAAAAAATAGCTGAATGCAGGTTGCATTTTGAGATGAATGGGAATGATCCACTTATTATAGACCTCCTCATTTGTTGCCGCAAACAAACATATCCATTTGATTCACTATGCATCCTCCTATTCACTTGACTCATCATCCTTTCTTCATTTAATCTCATTTTTCAGCTCAGTCACCTATGTAACAGACTGAAAAAAAATCACCAATTTCTCAAGGCTGCACAAAAGATTTAGCATTTATCTCAGATAAGAATCCTTATCAACACTGGCACATACATTTTCATTTTACTAGGCACAATGCCTAAGACAGGCCACACATGTGCTGTGTGTGTGTGTGTTTTGTAGTGCAAGATATTAATCCCCACCTAAACCCTGTATTTTCCTCTTCTGTTAATAACATGGGTTTCATTCTACAATTAATCCAATTAATGACACTCTAGATAAAAACTGAATATGAAATCAAATGGTTGTGAAGCAGCAGGGAGCAGAGAGACGTGAGCTTCAGAGGGGGCATCAGTCATGATCCCGTGGTCAGCTCCGACCGGCAGATGATTGGAAAAGCAGTAGGTGGCATGACTGTGTCTGGAATATGACGTGAGCTCCCTTAAAGCACACACTCTCTTGTGTCATTTTGTTTGAAGAAAGCTTGAATGCTTTGAGTATTAAAATAAACAATACAAAAGCATAAAACAAGAGAGATTATGTGCAGTGCAGGAACACCAGAGAGTGAAATCTGGGTCAATTGTAATATCTAAAGAGAGAGAAATCACACACTGCTGAGGTGAAGTGAAGAGTGGCAAGGGAGCGTGTGCGTGAGTGTCATTGAGTATTTATGGGAGTGAGAGTAAAAGCATATATAAACCTACAAACTAAAAGAAAACAAGAAATGGCTTTCTCTTGCTTAGTACGTGCATGGTCAGATGTTGGTCAGTGACAGCACTGATGGATCCTGTTCTCTCCACCCAGTCTGGTATAATCTCACCGTGGACCGTCACGTCATTCATGGCTCTATGGCTCCCCAGGGGTCTGCAGTGAAGATTAGGGCAAACACACCGTCCTTCATCACTCACACAGGGACCACGGTCTTTACACCACACAATTTCTCCAAGACATACTTGAGTGACATTTAAGAATGTATAAAACACATGTAAACACAAATTCTTAGGAATGTACTCTTTGTATTCATGTTGGTTTTTATTAAGTTTTGAAAAGAATTGTACCATTTTCAAGAAAAGTAAGTAGACTAAGTAATAAAAATGTCATGTGGCATAACCATCAAGTAAAAGTAAATCATTTAAAAAAACTATATTTTTCAAGGTAGAATTTTTTGTTTTACAAATGTCATATATTAATAATTCATAAATATATATATATATTTTTTTTTTTAAATACTCAACACACCCTCATGGGAATTCATAACTATTTTACGTTTTGATTCATTGATACAGAATTGTATTTTGAGTTCGAGGTAGTGATTAATTTAAGTAATAAAATGGAATAAAATTCAAAAGGACTTCGTAGAACTGCTGTACAGGAAGTTTTTAAAAAATGTCCAGGTGAATGTGTATGTTTATGTGTGTGTGATTGGTTCTCACGGTGGTCCAAACGATAAGGACAGTGGTTGTACAGGCATTTGTGTGTGTGTGTGCAGAGTAACAGCAGATGTGTTTGAGTCTGATAAGAGCGTCTGGCTGAGGAAGAGGAGGAGCGAGGATCAGACAGCAGAACCCCACCGATCTGCAGCATGAGAGAGAAGAAGATCTCTTCAGACTCCTGCCGAAAAACCATCGGCCTCCTGTGAGCCTTCTTCAAAACACACCACGCTACACACCAACACTACTTTAAAGAGACACCGTTTTCAAAGAGGCCGATATTAGAAAAGACTGCTCAACGAAACAGCTCAATTCTGCTGCTTGGAGAAAGGCAAGATGTTACAGAATTTTAGAATTGCTAAAATGCACTGACGTCAAGTTAAAACAGCATACGCAACCCATTTTACCGCAATAATCTGATGTATGTCTGAGTGAAACAGGATTTCAACTGGGCGGGACTTGATTTAGTCCACTGTACTGTATGTACCAGAATGGATCCAGGTGGTTGTTTTTGTTTCAAGTTATTACATTTGAATAAAATACAACTTTTTATTTGGAATAACGAGCAAAATAAGACCAGGAATGCTATGTACATTTTTATACCCATAGCCAGCATGAAACGGAAAATGGAAAATTATTGTAAATATATATATATATATATATATACACATATACTACACACATATACACACACACATACTTTTTTTACCTTCTTTATTAGAATCAAATCAATAACATTTTCAAGTGAAATTTTTGGAATAAACATCAGAGCTCCTGTCCGTTCTGTGGAGTTGTGGTCTGGGGTTGAGAGGTGCGGGTGACACCTGAAGCATGAAGTCACTCTGAAATAAATCTCCATTGAGCTCAGGGCTTTGCACATGCTCACTGGCTGGCGTTGGGTTTCGTGCTGCCCCTGGCAGATGCGCTGAACAAGAAGAATAGGTCCCAGAGGGCTATTTATTCCTGCTGCTCCCTTCGTTTCCCTCCCTCCCCTCTGCACTGTTGCTCCTAACAATCTGGCATTCTTACAGTCTAATATTTTTCCTTTCCTCTGCACTCACACCAACGTCTCCATCCCTGTTTTATACCGTAGTATATGCCTGGATTTTTATACAATCGGCTGAATTAGAATATAATTAGAAAGGAACCAAATCAGGCAAATGAGAACAGACATTTATTCACCCTCATGCCATTCCACACCCTGTATGACTTTCTTTTTTCCGTGAAACTAAAATGTCTCAGTGTAGTTTGTCCATTCAATGAAAGTTGTTTTGGACCCTAATGGCTTTCACTGTATGGGCAAAAACAGTTGAAACACTTCAAAATATCTTCTTTTGTGTTCCGCAGAAGAAAGTAAGTCATACAAGTTTGGGGGAATAAAAGTGAGTAAATGATTACTGAAGCTATTCCTCTCACCATCACAGTTTCTAGGACTCAAGCTGGGACTCCAGGTCTCTTTATTGACCCCGATTGTTGCAGTAAAACTAATTTGAGGGCAAATCCCACCTCAATTCCCCCTTGTGTCTGTTCAGAGCTGTTATTTACAGGCGGTGTGATCAAATCTAGATTGAACGGAGTTCAAATGTTCCAGAAATCTCAGCTCACTGTAAACATCAGCTCATGGGACTCGCATTTAAAAAATGCATACCAGCACAGTTTTTGTCCTTGTAGCTGATAAAGGAAATACTTTGGCAAAACAATGCACATCCTTCCCGTATACGTTTACTGTATATGATACATTATTAGAGCCAGAAAGTAATATACATGTAGTGATTATGGGGGCCTGTTGTCCATAATTCCACAGATAGTTGCTTAATCTGATTGCAAAAGCATAAAGTGAGAAGACTTAGAACATTATATGCTACAAAATCACTATTCGGTAAAAAAACACACACACTTGAGGCGTCTGATTTCACAGGTAAGAAAATATAGAGGTTGTTATGAGGGAAGCCCCCGACTGTCTGTGTGTGTGTGTGTGTGTGCATATACTCTGATAAATGAGCGTTTCATTCAGTTCCATTCAGCTCAGGTTCATGGCTTTCAAAAGCACAAAATGTTGCTATCTGAATACTTGCTATCTGTCACGTGTTATTCTGTGCACTCTCTGTCCCTTCAGGTTCAAGTGTGCTCTTCATCTGAATGTAGATATATGTGTGTATGTGTGTCAGGTTTCTGTGCTTTATGTTTTTTTATTTTGAAATTTGGTATTCATTTCATGTTCTTTTGAAGTTTTGTTTTTGGTTTTTGTAGTTCTTTTGTTATGATTGTCTTGTCTTTTGTGGATTATTGTTTTGTTGGAAGTAGCTGTGGCATTTCATGTGTTTAATGCTCAAGTCATGGATTATGTTTTATGTTAGGAGCCATTAAACATATTTTATCTGCACCTAGATCCAGTATCCTTGCTTCATTTCAAGGCTATGTTACAATGTGAGAGTGTTGTGCTTGGGAATCATCAAATTCATAGCTAAAACTCATAGATTTTGTCATAGTCTAAAATCCCTTTAACATCTCCGCACACGCACTTAAAGAAGATACAGTCAAATAAAATGATGGCAACAAGAACAAAGATTTAAAAACATTCAAATATAAAATATAAACACCCCACAAAGAGCTGACCTGAAGAGAAAGAGATACAAAAGGAGAACTAGATAAAGAAAGCCGGAAGCTGGGGTGTTGAAATGATCTGTTAGTGGAAGTCATAAGTGGGAAGGCGTATTAAAAGCTCAAAGTCTTTAAAATCCCAGTTACCACGGATCCACTCATATGAGATACCATTTGAAAGCATGTAACTAAACTTCCCAGAAATGTCAGTCTTATTAACCCAGTAATGTCAGGCTTATTAATTAGACCTAAGTATTGTTAGCTATGAATATAAAAATGCATATTTTAAGCCAATATTACTTTTCTCCTAGTGTTTACTTTCTGTCAGCGGCTCAATGCATTAACATTTTGCTTGGGGCAAAACATAAACATATTCACTAGTTTATGAATATGAATTAAGTGATGATCACCTGAATTGCTGAAAGATGAAAGTTAACTCCACCCAAAGAGGAAATATGCACTATAGTTATTATGGGGCAAATGTATTCTCAATTAAAATAGGTGGGAATTAATTGGTAGAAGAGATAATAATAAAACAACAAAAACAAATAATAAGAAGAGAGATTTCAGGTGGTGAGTGTTGGAAGGTGAGTGAACAGCCAAATGGGAAGTCTCACTATTTATTTATTTTTTTTCCCTAGAGGAACTGCTGAGAAAATTGGAAGAAAAAACAAGGAAATGTTCATTATATCAGGAAACAGTGCTACATTAGATCAGTGACTTTCTGTGAAAACTACCAGTATGATTAGAAGAGATTCTGTGGCACGATGAAGCTTTTTAACACAATTAAAAGATTCATACATGATGACAATTATATGATCATATCAATATTATAGTGCAGTTTTAATATAATAATATAAAATTTGATTTAATTTTTAATTTTATTATTTGTTATAGTTATATATACTATAACAATATAAATTATAATACTTATATATAATGTAATGTAATGTTATTTTTTGTAAATTTAGCACATTTTTGTAAATACCGGTATGTCAATTTTAGGCAGATTTTAAGGCAATTTAAGTATATATATAGACTGATCTAGATAACAGCTTGTATTGGATGTGCGTGGATTTTCTACATTCCTCTTTGGATAATTCCTTCCAGAATGAAAATTAAATGCAGGTTAGTTGCCACCAAGAGATTTATTGACCCCTGTGCTCCTTGTGTCTGTTTAGGAAGCTGTGTGTGTGTGTGAGTGTCTTCTCCGATACAGACAGCTCATAACATCTGCATTATGACTTTATAATGGGTGTGTTTACATGTTTGAATAAGAATGTGTGTGTGTGTGTGTGAGTTCTCCGCTCTTTTTAGTTGAGGAGGCAGGACTCGTAGGTGGGCACCATGTATTTGATGTTGATGAAGGCATCCTCGCCCCCGTAGCGTTCAAACACCTCAAGCGTCTCCTGGATCAGGTCTCCAATGTTCTCCCTTTTCTGCTGGCTGTAGTCAATACCGTCACCTGAGTTTCCTGCACACAACACACACATATTAGCATTTGTGATGTTTAAAGGTCTAAAAGCCCTAATGAAGTGTATAAGACACACACACACACATTCTGAATGAAGCAGCTCTGATGACTGTTCAGCAGGAGTGTGTGTACCTCAGATACACTGAACAAATCTGTAATGATTTATCAGGAGGAGGAATATGTGTGTTTGGCGGATGTTCTTGTGCATATCTCTGCCGCTCTCTGATGTCACATTAGAGAAATCCATCAATCACTGGGTAACCTACAGCACTCACACACACACACACACACACACACACACACACACACACACACACACACACACACACACACACACACACACACACACACACACACACACACAAATCAATACATTCACACTCCCGAGTCCTCCACCATCACACATACACACAGACTCCTCATAAACACACAAGCCCTCCCGCTACCTATACCAAACAAACTTTCTTCTGAGGTCACAGGCCCAATTACACCTGCACAAGAAGCCTGCACACACACACACACACACACACACACACACACACACACACACACACACACACACCTTTCCGTCTCTCCTGCCTGCTCATTAAAGGGAAAGGATGACAGGCACATGAAAAGAGAGCAGTTAAGTAGGGAGCTTCTCTCTTCTAGCGTGTGTGAGTGATTGTTGTCTGTCTAGAGTTTGTGTAACTGTATGTCTTCATCTGCTTTTCTTATTTACTGACTTGTGGATCATTTCCATCTACTCCGTACACCAACTCCTCTCACACAGGTCTCAAAACACACAGCCGTCAATAAAATATTAGTACAAAAGAAGAAAGTCTTGTGGTGTGTAAATATGCTCATCTGTACACAGACAGACCTGTTTAAGCAGATCGGTGGCCATAGTTATGCCCGAAGGGAGTTGCCCAGCTAACAGGCAAGGTTCTCTCAAAGTTATGAACAAATATTCTTCCACTAACATTAAAAAAAAAAGTTCCGTCGACTTGAATGGGAAAAGATGGAAAAGCTGTAAAAGTTTTTATAATTAGCTTCTTATCTAAAATCTGATAAAAACACAACAACACTGTAAAACAGTAATAATGTAAAATATTATAACTAAAAATGTTTTCTATTTTAAAATGTAGTTTATTCCTGTGATGTGAATTTCCAGGATCATTACTCAGGTCTCCAGTCTCAGATCCTTCAGAAATCATTCTAATATGATGATTTGGTGCTCAAGAAACATTTATCATTACACTCAGGTACAAAATATACAAAAGCTGTCACTGGGATGACGATACCCTTTCAAAAGGTACACCTTTGTACATAAAGAGTGGATACTGAATGGACCAAAATGGTACATAATATTAAAACTTTTTTAAAGGGTACCATCCTAGTGACAGCGTTTGTGATGAATAGAAAGTTCAAAAGAGTAGCATTTATTTGAAACAGACATCTTTTGTAACCATTGAATGGGAATTTATTCATAATTTGGCATGTTGGAAGACACAAAATAAAGGCTGTAAGGCTGCATGGGGTCCTCCTGTTGACTAGATATTCTCTATAGTCAATCTGGATTGGATCCAAAAATAGATGCAACAGACCACCCTATGCTGTCTGGACCCCAGACACTCATTTCAATGGTGTGACCGACCGTCTGCTGTGGATCTGTACAGTTGTCAGCGACAGGCTGCAAGTATCCTGTACTATCATGCTCAGGGGCCACACCAGAGAAACCTGTCAATCACACTGCAGGCCCTGCATCATTCGCACATCAGAAACACAGGGAAATAAAATCAGCTCTCTCCGGTAATCCTTCCTTCAGGCTTTCTTCGCTTTCTCTTCCTCATTCAGCAACTTTTCACCAGAGCAGGAGGAGAGAGAGATAGAGAGAGAAAGAAGGGGTTAGAATGAGCAGAGTTTTTAAAGCAAAGATATGGAGAATGCTTTGAAGAGGTAGGAGAGCTTCATTTGCCATCTGCGCTTAAACCGCACAGATATGCTACTGTTTTGAATCATGTGGAGTCCAGGCTCTGATCTATAGGGTTCAGGGGTGGTGTGAAGTTCAAGCAGGAAGGAGGATTCTGCATCTTTCAGAAACCAAAATCATACCAATAACCCCCCGGATAACACACACATAAATAAATACACCTATTTCTGTATCAGTTATTAAGATTATTCTCAGCCTCAGATGGCACAATCACAGATATGGATTGCTCAATAACCATCTGATATAAATTGAACACAAAATGGCAAAAGCTTTCTGAAAATAAATACAATCTGATATCTGATTCATGCGAATTCTGGGAATCAGAGTCCACAGATTTGTATCTGCCAGGAAACGAAGCTGTGTTTACAAGTTTCCATACAGTGAGCATCTCTGAGCAATAATTAGTTGCTTGGTTTTTCAATTTTACAAGGTTCATGGCATCCAAAATTTTTTGTTTGTAATTCTTCCACAAGATATCCACGATTTATCTTCTCCATATTCCATTTTGTTCTCTGTGATATATCAAATTTTCCTGGAAGCTTTTTCTTGTTTAAAGATTAAAAATATCCCATTCAAAAGTTTGGGGTCAGTAAGGTCTTGTTTTTGAAGTCTCTTATGGTTACCAAGGCTGCATTTAATTTACAAAAATAGTTAAAAACAGCAATATGGTGAAATAATATTATTACTATTATTATTTATAATAACTGTTTTTTAGGATTCTTTGATGAATAGAAAGTAAAAAAAAAACAGCATTCATTTGAAATATAAATCGTTTGTAAAATTATAAATGTCTTTACTGTCACTTTTGAACAATTTCATGTGTCCTTTCTTAATTTATTACTGACTCCAAACTTTTGAATGGTAATGTATTAAAAAGATAATTGAGTGATAAAGATTAATATAACAACTGAAGTAACACTGTGTGATATAGAACCGCAATAATGAGAAATAAAGCCTAAGGAGTGATAAAGAATTTTCCCCTCTGAGGTGGAGAACAAGCTTCTATACATTTCAGATTTACTCTCATAAAAAAATCCTTGGCTTGTTTTTGTCTTGGCTTGTTCACATTAAATAGTCAGACAGTCGCTTCCTGTGTAAGTGGGCAGCTCTTGGCCAGATTAAGTTGCAATATGGACCAAATGTTAGTCACAATCCGGCAAAGCAACTACATCCAAATTTTGAAGCTGCGTGTAAACGGAGGGATGTTATTTTGTCTTGAACAAATGTTCTCTTTGATTTCTCTGTAAAATGTCAATCATAAGGAAACCCACCTCCATCTGTGTGAGTATATCTGTACTCTCTCTCTCTTTTTCTCTCTCATCTGGTCATTGTAAATGTGAGATGAGTTTCAACAGCTGTCTTTTTCATCCCCCCTCTTCGACTATTTATCCACACCTCTATTCTCACCCCTCGCTCCATTCTTTCTCTCTTACTCCTCTTCGCATCTAGGCAGCCAGGTTGGCGTCAAGAGGGTTGTCATGCCAGAGCAACTAATCCTTCTCTCTTTCTCAGTCTCTCTCTGGACATGTTCAGGGCTGGAGGGCAGCAGCTGGAGAACTGATGGTTCTTGTGTTTGGGTTTAACTGGACTGATCCACGCACAGAATGTGGATATTGGATTACACTCCTGCTAACGGCCGACAGGGTGTAAAGAGAGTACAAACAGTGGAGCACTGTGAGGCAAGACATTTGCCAAATGACCAAGAAAAATTGGTCAAAATAAACACACGATTCAGATGACTGCTCATCACATAAACATAAGAGAAAAGAACAAACTGTACTTCTGAAAAAATGTAAAAATTCCAGTAAAATTTCAAAAAACAGTATTATCATGTTTTCCAGTTAAAAATCTAAACCTAAGTCTTATTTTCAGAATTTTAATATTTTAAGTAATTTAACCCCATAAAATTGTGTTAGTTTAAAAAAAAAAAAAATTCCAGTGGGTTAAAAAAATACATTAAATTAATTTGAATACATTTAATTCAAGATTATTATTATCTTGAAAACACTGGCTTCTCAGGGAAAAAAAAAATCTCATTTGAATGGTGTTTAGATTTTTTTTTTAATTAGAAAACAAGAAAAAAATACTAATTTAAGACGATGATATTTTCAGAAAACCTAGTCTGAAATGGCTTGTTACGTAGCAAGAAAACAAGCTATAGTTTTTTTTTTCTTCAGTACAAACCAAAGGACTGAAGCATTAAATTAAATGAGCTACCATTTTATGGGTGTGTGAGACTCGTACACACTTAAGCACACATCATCATCACTAACTCAGCACTGCATCATCTCTGTCTCTGCCATCTCTATCATTAGCACCTTATTAACAGATTATGTAGCTCACACACACATACATACATTCTAATAAACTCTTGTTGTTCTTTACATACATATGTACACTATAGCTAGCTCTTACGTACCCATCACAAACCACTATACCCATCCTGTACTCACACACACACACACAGCAGGTGAGAACAAAGATGTCAAATCAGCGGCTAGTCTAAATAATACATAAAAATGTCCTTATTTTTTCTTTGAACATTCTCAGCGGTTCCTCTCACAGGTCCCGACCTAGCGTGAGCTCTGCTAATGGTGGTAGCATTAATATTCATGTCTAACAGCTTGATTAAATGTACCTTTGCACCGTGAACAGGTGTGCATGTGTGAATAGCTCATTTACACCTCATAATGGTGTGGGCAATTGTTCATGCAAAACAAATGTTGTGATTCATCTCAGGTTTCATCCACTAGTTGGTTTGGTTCATAGTTTAGAATTCTTTGTGTGAAGAATTTGGTAACACTATACATAAGGTTTCATTTGTTAACATTAGTTGCCAACATTAGCTAAGATGAACTAACAAAGAACAATACATCTACAGCATCTGTTAATCTTAGTTAGTGTAAATTTCTACATTTACAAATACATTTTTAAAATTAAAAATTGTATATGCTAAGATGACAATGCACTGTAAACTAACATAAACCATGAACAATTTTATTTGTATTAACTATAACCAGTGTTGTGC